GATAGAGCAGGGGAAGCATCGGTAGATAAATTTATGTGTTCATTTAATCCCATTCAAATGTTTGAAATGTCTGAAAAAAAGCCAATTCAACACCATATTAATTTGCAAAAAAACTGAGAGTGAAAAAAGAAGAAGCTTACAGGATAAAGGAATTCTTCGCAGATCAAGGACCGAGTAGTTTCAGTCAAGAACCTTTCGACATTACCAATGCTTCTGAGCACGTGACGATCGGCATTACCAACCTCAGTCTTGACAAAGATATGAGGGAGGATAGGCGTGCCGATCGAGCTATTACGTTTGCCACCATTCTCGACGCTATCCTTGTCGAGCAGGAGTTCAGAGTGAGGCGGTTCGAGGAGGGTGAGATGGAACTTGGAGCGGTCACCCTCGATGGCCAGGATGATCTCGGCATCAAAGCCGACCCAGACGACGGTTGCCCTGAGTGGTATACTCATGAACTTGGCCGCAGGATGGTTGATAACACCAGGGGGTGGAGAATTGGAGACGGTGTGGTAGTTATTCCTGTGTTTCTACGCCAAAAATATAAAAAATTATTCTCATCTTTTTCTACATCAGATAGAAGGTAAAAGAAACATCAAAAATGGATTCCTGAGGTAAAAAAACCCCTAGTCACCCACTACAACTACCCCCTTATCTCTATTAGTTCAGAAGTTACACCTATTTCAACCTATCACAGGATATCTCTTGGATTCTTTACTCTGACTATAGCTCAATTTGAATACTGGATGCATATTGGATATTGAGTTCCTTTGTTTCATATTGAATTCCTTTACTAGCTCATATTACATATTGAATTCTGATGGAATTTTACTGAGAGCTGAGAGAAGGGGGGAAGCGACCAGAAAGAAGAACTCCGAAGAGAGAAACAAACAAGGTCGAAGAACCCTATATGAGGGTTAAGCTGCTAGCTTGTGAGACGGAAAAGCGAACTCACTACAAGAGACTGTATTAGTGGTCTCAGGGAACTGGCGCAGAGAACAGATGTTTTTCATTTTCTAACTCAGAAATCATGGCTATTTAACTACATACATGTTATGGCTGAGTTGTGGGACAGAAGAGGAAAAATGATATTCATCTGGAAATGAGAGGAAAAGGAGTGACAGATGGAGGAAAGGAGTGACACTGGCAAGACAGAGAGAAGAAGGAAATGGAACGACGACAGCTGAATTCCAACACCCCCCCCAACTGATGAACCACAGAACCTACAATCGATATTCGGCGTTGATGTTGAGCTTCTGAAATTCAGGGTTGGCCAGCATAGCTTGAAAGTTTCGTTCGCTTTCGACTTGTTCAGGAGTGAAGCCGTGGGGAGCGGTGAAAGCGAGATGAGCTTGAGCGGCAGGTTTGGATTTGGATGAAGCAGCGGAAGCGGAGGGCTTGGAAGGGCGACGGTCAGGGTGCTTTTCAAAGCAGATCGATTCTTTATGGCCCGCTTTATCACAGTGGGAACAGATGGTGAAACCCTTCTTGCAGTGGGGACACATGTAGAATTTCTCATCGGTAGTGAGAAGGGCCTGTTGGGATGGCTGAGAAGAGGAACGATCAAGGTGATTCTGAGCCGCATGTCGTTCGAGTCGATTTAACATCATCGCCACAGTATCGCCTGCGCAGCCAATGCTGAGAACAGTTTTGAGAGATTGAAATTCTGAAGGGAGCTTTCGGAGGATGATAGCGGTTTTGACTTGATCATCGAGACCGATCTTGGACGATACGAGTTTTTGATTGGCAGCGCGGACTTCTGTGATGAAGTCGGTCGTGGATCCGTGATAATCGAGATCAAGAAACTTCTCCAGCGCTAGATCCTTCGAGACATAGTCATCGCCTGCGTATTTCTTCTTCAAAATCTGCCAGACAGAGAAACCACAGAACGAGGTTTCGTCGGTGATCGTCTGAGACACGTAAGCCAAGTGATTGTTGTCCAGATGTTCAATGATTTCGATGTATGCGATTCGATTTATTTCCTCATACGCTAGTGCTTCTTTTGTTGGTTTTTCAGGATCATCCAATTTCGGTTTCTTGATGGAACCTAAAACGACATCAAGGGCGTCGAGTTTGCTCAGTTTCGCTACCATGAGAAAGGACCAAGTGGAGTAGTTCGAATCGTTGAGAAGGATGGGAGGGTTTCGAGAGTTTGACATGGTAAGATTGTTTGATATGAGTGATGAGAGTGGATTGGATAATAGGTGATGAGTTGAGGAAGCGTCGAATTTCGACTGTTAATCGTGATGGAATTTTACTGAGAGCTGAGAGAAGGGGGGAAGCGACCAGAAAGAAGAACTCCGAAGAGAGAAACAAACAAGGTCGAAGAACCCTATATGAGGGTTAAGCTGCTAGCTTGTGAGACAGAAAAGCGAACTCACTACAAGAGACTGTATTAGTGGTCTCAGGGAACTGGCGCAGAGAACAGATGTTTTTCATTTTCTAACTCAGAAATCATGGCTATTTAACTACATACATGTTATGGCTGAGTTGTGGGACAGAAGAGGAAAAATGAATATTCATCTGGAAATGAGAGGAAAAGGAGTGACAGATGGAGGAAAGGAGTGACACTGGCAAGACAGAGAGAAGAAGGAAATGGAACGACGACAGCTGAATTCCAACAAATTCCTTTGTTGGTGCACATGCATTCCTTTGTAGCAGGACCTTTTAGGCCAGCCAAAATCCCTCAAGGCTGTGCTATCACTAGCTAAATTCCCTCACCTGCATGTACTAGACTAGCTAAATTCCCTCATTGGATATTCAGGCCAGCTAAATTCCCTCACCTGCATGTACCCTGGAGCTAAATTCCCTCACTTTTGTCTATATAAGGAGGCCTCTGCCTGCCAGTTGTATTCCCTCCTCATCAGATGCTCTGTAGTCAGTCCCCCCCATAACACTACATCACTGGTCACTCTTCAATATTATTAGCTACCTAGTATTGAGGTTTTATAATTATAACCCCCCTTATATATTATAACAGTTTATAGTGTAGAAATATCAACATTACTTTTTTTCATAACCACTAAGCTATCTCACCTTTGCCTGAAATCCACTGCTTTTTGCCCTTATACACCCCAACCGCAAGGACCTGGGTTCAATTCCCATTCAAGACATCCACTTTAACTCCACTTCAACTCCATCTTAACTCCACCTTAACTCCAACTTACCTCCACCTGCGCCTGGTCCTCCGTTCCATTCCTGGTCGAAGCATAAAATTTATATACCATCAACCTCGAGGTTGCGCGTTCAAGCCTCACTCTCAACACTTATCATTGACACTCTATCAACAACATCATCAACACCTTCAACCGTATACGTATCATCGACAGCTTCATCTCGAACTATCCTCTATCACGATATATAAACTGCCAAGCTGAGCTTGGTGTGTGCTTGTTGTTCTGATAGCATAGAAGGGCAGAGCTTGCAACTCCATCATCCCCTTCTCCATTCAGCAAAAGGGTTTCACAACCACTTTTGAGTCTTACAACGGAGGTTGCCGTCATAAGTCAATCGAAGATGGATCTGCAACAATGGCTGGGAGTGGCCATCTTTGTCCGGCTTGATTGTCGGCGCAGAGGAACACTCCGGCAAGCTCGATGGATGACTCTCCCCATTGGCAATCCGGAAGCCTCGGCTGACGTCCCGGATGTCAACAATATGGCGCAATGTCTCCAAAGTTGATCGACTGGATTCTGAGCGGGCCTAGGAAGTCCGGGATTTGCTAGAAGTCCATTCAGTCTTTCTGTCATCTTCTCAGGTATCAATGGTGTGAGTGAGAGCCAGTAGATTTCGATTGACATTTGCTCTGAAGGAGTTGATCTGAAGGAAACCCCCTTCTGATCAACGTGGCACATTGCCTCGTTGACCGGAAGGGTTTCCTTCCGATCAATGATGAGTTACATGTACCTCATTGAACGGAAGGAAACCCTTCCAGTCAAGAGTCAATGTGTGGGCGGTGCCCGTAGCGGTACCCGGGTACCGCCCGTTTTTTTGCCCAAAAACCGGCACCCGGCACCGCACCTGGCACCGCTTGGCGGGTGCGGGGCGGGTGCGGGCAGTACCTGCCGAGCGGTGCTAGGTACCTAGCGGCGGGTACCGAGGAACGATCTCTAATCTATGGCTTGGATGACTTCTTTCATGTGGTGTACACAGTACATCTTTGGAAGTGCAAATTTTTTATTTTGAGTGCATCTGTTTGAATCTTTGATCATATGGACTGGTTGTCCTCTCTGCTGATTATGATGTGCCAATGAATTGAGAAATCAACAGATAAACCAACAATCAGAACTTCCTCAATACTCAACGAGAAGCTGATGTCGAGGGTCAACAGGACAGAGCCAAGAGGAGGAGGGCTGGCAGAGTCGTCTTCAGATTTCCAGATTTCCTGCGGCGGGAAGGGTTCACCCAGAGTCTATTTTCCGAGGATGTCCAGGAAACGCTCTCATTGAATACCTGCCCAATCCTGAAGGATTCTCCACCAAAAACAAGTATGACAAGAACAACAATGAGGATGGGGAAGCAGAGACACAAGGAGAGGAGCAAGCAACAAGGCTTGCTTGAAAATTCACCGATCCTCCTGAGCCTGGCCATCAATTTCAAGGGCTGGCCCAAGGTCTACGCTGGGTTGATCAAGATGATGAAGGGCAAGATCTTTGCCCAGTTCCTGGCCATGCAGTATATTTCTCCAGCAGGGTAGCACAATGCTGGAGGAGTGCTGAAGAATATTGTTGCAGCTCTCCAAGTAGTGAAAAATTAATCAAGCAATATAATCAGCAAAAAAAAATCTACAAAGAACTTCAAAAAAGTCACCGACAATCCTGATCCTCACCTGTCTAATCATCCTATCAGTCACTCTCATCATCTCTCTTTATATCAGGATGATCCCTTCATTTGAAGCCGAACACCCATCACACCAAATCAATTGGAATCGACCACCTCCTAGGAATTGACAATGGTCAAATTACTACGGACTTTTTTGCCCAAAGATAGGCTCTAAGCAATGGAAAATTCTCTACCCACCTTCTAAACCAGCTGGACCTTGACCTCTGGAAAGCTGGATTAAACAATACGATTATCTGCGATCAATCTCTTCTTCCAACCAACTTGACTCACCTCTCTCTAATACCTGGACCAATCCTCAAGCTAAATTGTCTACTGATGAGGATCTGTTCAAAGATGATTTGGTCCTTGAGTTTGAACAGAGGCCGATGCCCTCTCGAGATTCAATCCTTCGTTGTTGATGTACAAATGTAGTTCGGAGTCAAACCACCTATCAGCTTATCCACTTCCACCAGAAGACTCTTCTATTGCTTCCAAACTCATTCAAGGAGGGCATCAGCTTGTCGAGGCAGACCAGCAAGGATTTCCTTGGCTGTTTGTGACTGCTCAATATTGGCTGGAACTCTCTGTTGTATTGGAAGCTTCTCATCTTTGATCGCTTCTCTTTTGATCAACGAGTAGCTTTCTCTTCCTCCAACTATTCTCGACACACTTATCCAATAGATAAAAAATGGGAGGGACAAATGAAGAAGGCTCAGAGTTAATAGTAGATACATCACACAAGAGTGTAGTGTTGGCTGTCTGAAGATGAGATTACCAATTTATCTTCAGTTGAATTCTGGATAGGCTTTGTAAAATGAGACATGAGAAACAGAACACTTGTTGAGTAAAGTTGAGTATCGATAGAAAGAAGGGAGCCCGGGTGATCAAAGAAGCAACTAAAATTGGTGGTAAAGAAATCAGATCTGTTAAGGATGAGATTTGGATACAGGATGGGCGGAGTAGGTGCAATGTCTAGGTGATAAGTATAGTGTAACCAAGTGATTAGATATGTTAAGGAGAAGTGCCAAGGCCAAAGCGGTGGTGTGGGTAGGTGCCAGGCCAAGGGGCTGTAACGAGTCAAATTTAATATCAAACAGGCCATGGAAAACAAAGGGTGTTGTGAGGGTAAAGGTGGTTAGGTTGCCTAGGATGTGGCATACACCGGGCAATATTGTCCGCAGACTGCTTTGTGGGTGAGGCTAGTTGGGCTTGAGGGGGCAGACTGGTGTGGCTTTGCTTGACGTTGCACGGTTGCTGGGTAGGAATTATAGGCAAGATTTCAGATGGGGGAGGGAGGTGGAGGCTATAAAGAGGAGGGCTTTTATGTCTCTGTAGTGCACCAGGTGTGTCAATATCTGTAATTCCAGCAATTGAAACCCTCATCCTCTCCGCTGTTGCACTTGCACAGTCTGAGAGCCAAAGAGCTGGCCCCCCACTTGTCCTCTGCCTTTGCGGTCGGCTGGGGGCCTTCATGCCCAGTGGTTTTGACCCATGCGATGACATGGGCTGGCCACTGAGTCCAAGTGCACCAGCTTTGCTGGTGTTGGGGGGCGAGGCTGCTGGTTGACATTTTTTTTTTGATTGTTGTTGTGTCTGACATGTCATGTCATTCTTTTGTGTTTCTTTGAAGGAAAAACCCTGGCATTTTTTTTTCTTAATTTAGCATTTGTAAGGGGAAACCCTTGAATTTTTTTTTTACAAATCACTGACTTTAATATACTTGGATTCAATTTCCATAAAACTAAATGGTTCATACTGAATACTGTAATGAGTCGTATTTTTCAATTGATTTTTAACAGCTTATTTTTCATTATTTTTTGACATGTTAAATTCTTTTCCTACACTTTCAAACATGTATAGAATCATGGTAACTATGGATTTTCGTCAAAATGAAAACTATGTCTTGAATAATGCCGTTGATGTGTTTCCCAAATTCATTCTTACACGCTCAATTATCCTTATTTTTTGGAATTTCAAGCTCATTTCCTACACTTTGAAAGGTTTCAAAATTGATGGCTGTATCCATTTTGCATTCAAATAAAATTTGTTGGACTTCATCATTCAATTCTAAACAATTGGAAATGTAGGAAATGAATTTAAAATAGGGGGTATCAAATATAGGAAATCCACCATCAGAAACCAGTCACTTTTCCAAAAACTTTTTTTTGCATAAATGGGCCCCAAAAGGGGTTAAATGGATAACCAACATGTTTAAAAAAGAGTGAATTTTTTTCAAACCAGTCAATTAAATAATGGTGGATCTGGTTACATTTGATACCCCCTAATCAATTGAAAAATAAGTGGAAAAAAAAATTAATAATCAAAAGTCATTTTATTGGAAAATGGACTTTACCATTAAATTCTATGCATTTTTTAACCCAGGAAACAATTTTAAAAAATTTGTTGAAATTTCACAGTAGTGTCACTCTAGATTCACTCAAGCTCAGCTCTTGATCCGCAGCAAGTAATGATAACTGAAATTCAACCGCTTAGGGTTGAATTTCCTGAGAGTTAAAAAAGAACATCTCTGTCGGTCTCTGTAATCTCCAGACTCGACAAGATACTCGACCTCTCAACTTGCTCTAGATCAACAAACTCCGATCAAGATCCTTTCGGCCCATTGTGCCCTTTTCAATCACTCAAGACCTTCCAGTGTAAAGTTCCCATCACTCGCTCCACTTCACATCACTCGTGCTCACATCAAACCATCTCTTTCGTGCCTCAAGATTGATTCTCGACTCCTCAGGAATCCAATAAAAAGGCGCTATCAATTAAACTTCATATCATCACCTCCGCGTGCTGTTTGTCTCTCTTTTTTCTTCTTCTCTGTTCTTATCTTCTCTTGTTGTTTGTTGATGAAATCGCTGATCTCTTTTCTTTCATCATCTGTGTTTTCTGTTCTCTTCTTTAGTTGATTATATTTTAAACTTCTCTTCTTGCTTCTGCTCAAAGTCCTCATTCTCTATTCATTGATTCCATCCTCTTAGTGGTATGCTTTTTCTATCAATTCTTCTTCTCTTGATTCTTTTTCCTTATTGTCTTGTTTTCTCATCATTTTTGTTTCTAGTTTGGTTTTGGTTCTTAGTCATCAATTCAACATTTCTTCACGATTAACAGTCGAAGAAGTCGTTACCAAACCTAATCTTCGAAACCGAACCATTCACTAAGAACTCGTCGCGATGGAAGCTATCAACCCTACCATTCTTAAGACGACGATTGAGGCAATTCCTCTGTTGACCGAAGAGAATTTTTCCACCTGGAAAACGAGGATGATGGCGCTCTTCAAGCTTGGCGGACTGAAGGACCAGATTATCGCCGGAGAACCTGAAGTTGAAGACGTTGACAACACCATTCTCTGTGCAGTCATCGTCGCCAAGCTGTCGACTACTACTCACAAAAATGTAGTTAATTCGACCAACGAAGCAAACGTTCAGCTCCTCTGGAAAAGCATACTCAAGCGATTCATTTCCAACGAACCTTCGAATCGAGCCAGAGTATATAACGCTTTTGCCAGCATCACCTTCGATTCGGGCAACATCAAAAAATTTATAACTGAAGTAAGAAGCTCACTAGTTAGGATGGAGGACGTTGGCATAGACATGCCGGACGACATTCTCACCTACGAACTCCTCAGAAGACTTCCCAAAAGCTTAGACACTATCAAGCAGAAGATCACTCATTCCAAGGACGGTGAAGACATCAACCCCGAAACCCTCATTGATCACCTTGAAATCCATCTCAACGAGCTGAAAGTCAGCGAAGGAGACAAGTCAGAATCTATCGAAGCGACTATGTTCACCGATGGGGATACTCTCTGTAAGACTGGGGTCCACATGTAAGCCCCCTCCTTTGGGGTCTCACAAAACCTGTTACATAGCTATCACTAGATTCCATAATCCACCTGGTACTTAGTCTAAGCCTGTTCCATCCCTAGCTCAGCAGAGATCCCTGTAGACTGACATATCTCTCTGAGCTAGGTAAGCCAATCACCCTTTTCACTTTATTACTTTTTCTCTCTTATAACCAGTTGTGTATAAGAGAGATCCCTGTAGACTGACATATCTCTCTGAGCTAGATCCCACTCATTCTTGAAATACAGTCCCTGGTCATAGAAACTGCGTCCTTGCGCCCCTCTTGAGACAATTCAACAGCGAAGGAGATTCCACTCCTTACACTTTTTTTTTCTAGACCACAACCAACCAGCGGCTCGCCTTCATTGGTTCCCAGCCTCAACCTCTCTGGATTTTTTTTCTTCTCCCAACCTTCTTTTCTCGTGTTTGCTTGCCTCTCTTCTGTCTTGATAAATCGATCCAAAAGACACGGCCACGAGCTTCCTCCTCAACTCACTCGGCAACTGCCACTAAACTCCAGGTTGAAACGTCAATGATCTCTTGCTGCTCAGAACACTATCCATCCACCTGAACCAATCCTTTCAGAGCGAGAACCCATCGAGATCGACACCCCACCACGAGTGATCCCGGAGTCTGAATTCCACAGGAGACAAAGAATTCACTCACCCGATCCAATAGCAAATGCTGCTATCATCGACTCTAACCTGGCACAAGTTCTGTGGAACGCACGCGAAATGCTCGAAGCTCAGATCCAGAAGTATTGTTGTCGTTCCGATCGAAGTCCATCCGAATCTTCACCAGTCTCCTTATCATCGGCCAATCATAAGCCGTCCAAAAAAGCTTGAGAGACCAGTCCAAAGCCCAAGTGCGGCACCAAACAATTTCAAGATGCTGATGAATCGCCCGGCGCACCTTATTATCATCCTCCTGAGAAAAAGAGCGCCAAGCAAGAGATACTCGTCCCAAAATCCCCAGCTCCTCATCCTCCAAGACATCTGCGGGTCCACCTTGCACAACAGGCCAACTTGGTGTCGGCACTCCGCACTACCTTTCTGCTACTTATCAAAAGCTTGGACGTGCTGGACATGCTGGAGCTTCACAAAATCCTTTGCCAACTTGAGATACACTAGCGACTTCCAGATGCACTCACACGTCAACCTGCGACAACTCTCATCGCAGTCTTCAAACCAAACCACCAACCTCAACCTCTTTATGCTCTCTGACTGAACCCGACTGAATGAACTAATTCAAATGACTGACTGTTCTGAGTCCTGACCAACTGACTGATCCGACTGAATCCGACTGTTCCAACTGAATTCCACTCTTCCAACCGACTGACTGACCAAATCCGACTGTTCTGAATGACTGACTGAATCTAACTGTTCCAACTGACTGTTCCGACTAACTGACCAACTGAATCTAACTGTTCCGACCGACTAATTGACTGAATCCAACTGTTTCAACTGAATCCCACTCCTCCATTGTTCACTCCATCCCATCCCATCCTTTCCTTTTTTTCTTTTATAGGAGGGGAGACTGTAAGCCCCCTCCTTTGGGGTCTCACAAAACCTGTTACATAGCTATCACTAGATTCCATAATCCACCTGGTACTTAGTCTAAGCCTGTTCCATCCCTAGCTCAGCAGAGATCCCTGTAGACTGACATATCTCTCTGAGCTAGGTAAGCCAATCACCCTTTTCACTTTATTACTTTTTCTCTCTTATAACCAGTTGTGTATAAGAGAGATCCCTGTAGACTGACATATCTCTCTGAGCTAGATCCCACTCATTCTTGAAATACAGTCCCTGGTCATAGAAACTGCGTCCTTGCGCCCCTCTTGAGACAATTCAACAGCGAAGGAGATTCCACTCCTTACACCACAATCCCAACTCAACCTCTCACGTCAAAGATAATTGTTGGTTCGTGTATCCCGAGAAACGCAAAGCTTGGCAGAAGAAGAAGCAAGGCTTTAATTCCAACAACGTCAGCAGCTTCTCTACATTTTCATCAAATCCCCTAAACGTTTTCATACTAGATTCAGGATCTACCTCTCACATGATCTCTGACAAGTCGCTGTTTATCCATCTAGACGAAAGCGAAAAGGGAGTGATTAACACGAGCTGTGGATTCAATACTCTCAGGATTGAAGGGAAAGGAACTATAAAACTTAGCTATAAAAACAAATCGATTGTTCTCCACAATGTTCTCCTTGTCCCTCGAATCACTGTTAATCTCCTATCACTGCATCATCTTCTTCTTGAGCAATTCAAAATAAATTTTTTCATCAATCACTTCACTATCCATAAGAATGAGGAGCTAGTCATGGAAGGGAATTATCAATCAAACATACCCGTTCTCACTTTCGACTCCACTACTCTTCATCAGTCTCATCTAAGTTCGGCCGAGCTATTGCACAAGTCACTCGGACATGTCAGCTATAGCCGGATTCGGAATAAGATTGGTATTCCGGTCACTGCGCCGGATGCCTGTAAGTCTTGTGCGATAGTGAAAATCACTAAAGCTTCCTTCAAGAAGAGAATTTCGGCTGCATCTAAGCCTTTTGAAGAACTGCACCTCGATCTCATAGGACCGATCACTCCTATGTCCCACAAGAAGCATTGTTACATCCTCACTATCGTTGACAACAACACTTGATATTTGTCTGCAATCCCTTTGACATCGAAAGATGAGGTATATGCAAGCCTCACTCGTTTACTTGATCTTGAAGCGAAGCGACTTGGCTATCATCCAACC